TTTTTGAACTTGTTGTTGCAATTTATGATGATCAATTTAATATTGTGCCAATTGAGTCTAAAAATATGATCTTTGAGCCATGTCAATTCGAATCCTATTTTTGGTTTGTTTTTATCGGTTTGAACTATTTATCAATTTTGCTAATTTTGCCTATTTGTCAACTTGTCAATTTTTACTTAATTATCGATTTTTGCCTATTTTGCCTAATTGTCGATTTTGATAATTTGCTAATTTTTACCAATTTGTCCATTTTGCATATTTTATCTAACTGCATATTTGTCAATTTTTTCGATTTGCCTATTTATCGATTTTGTTAATTTGCCTATTTTATCTAATTACCTATTAATTGATTAGTCGATTTTGGCAATTTATTGATTTTTCAATTTTGTTTATTTTTTCCAACTTGCCTATTTGCTGATTTTACCAATTTGACTATTTTGTCGTTATTTGTCCGTTTCTGTCTTTTTGCTTATTTTGCCAATTTGCCTATTTTGTCGTTATTTATTTATTTCTACATGTTTGCTTATTTTACCAATCTACCTAATTTGTCTATTTGCTTATTTTTAAGCCTTATTTTCATGCACGTCATTTAAGTCGCATTAGTCACATATCCTTGCATTCATCATGTCTTTTATTTTTAGCTATTCATTACGGAGTAAGGATAAGGTCTCCGACCAACTAAGTCCTAAATCACTCGACTAGTGGGAAAATACTTAAAAAAATATATGTATAGTATTTCATCATAAAAAAAAATCGAAATCAAGTCAATTTTATATGTAATACAGACTTGTCTTAGGTAGGACAAGGTAGGGTGATTTTTAATGTTCCCTATACGTAATAAACCCCTTATCTAGAACTCTAAACAAACCATTCATAGGGTTTCCTAGTGACCATAATGCTAGGTGAAGACTCCAATTATTTTCTCTCATTTTTTTCTATTTTAGCCTTAACAAGTCGCCCTTCCCACTAACATCGCCCTGCAATAGGAGAAAAGGAGGAAATGACATAGCTAACTACGATCTCCCTTCTCCGAAATTCATGACTCGCACCACCCACTCCAAACAAAACAACATGCCACTAATGCTCATTAGCTAACCAATCACGTGCCAAGGGCTCACTAGACGATGATCGTAGACGGTGGTAGTAGTATTGAGGTTTCGAGAGTATTTCTATAATTTGACACGCATGGGTATTTTGATAATTTTCCCTCTATGGAAATTTTAGTCATTTTCCGAAATCATCCTAGAGGCATTTGGGTCACTATTTAGTGAGCATTTGGTTTGTTTTGTCTTACCTATTTATTTTTTTAATTGTTTTGTAATGTTGTTTTGTAATAATGTTAATTTTATTTATATTAGAAGACTTAGAAACATTTAGGTTATGAAATTTATTTTAATGTATGATTGGGTTGTAATGTCGGACTAACGAGTCTCCTATTTATTATGGATGCATGGTGGTTTGATATATTTATTTAGTGTTAAAAATGCATATATATAAAATAAGGAATCAATTCGAGTCAAGATGGTCGTTTTGTTTGATTCGGCTAATTTTCGACGATGTTGAGTTGTGATTTTTGAGGAGTACTTCTAGAAGGGTGAGGAGTGTTTCTTTAGTGTTGGTAATGACCGATTTGGCTAGAAAATGAAGAATCATCCAGATTGTTATTAAAGTCGATTTTTGTGGCTTCTCCTCTAATTTTCGACCTCCTTCGACATCTTTAAGCGATCAACAATGGTGGATCTAATAGTACACTATCTATTGGTGGTAAAGGCTAGAGGATCGGAGGATGATCGATTTAAGGGGGAATGCTTGGTCGATAAATGGGGTAACCCATGGATTGATGGATCTAGTCCACTCCTTGAGAGTCTGTTTGGTTAATTTTTTAGTTTTCTTATTTTTTTTTTTATCCGTGCCCTTCTCTAGATGTTTAGGGAGAAATGAGAGGAAAGATTAGTGATGGAAGCTATTGTTTTTTAAGTAATGGAATAATTGTGGAGGCTCTTCAACATAAAGTGAAAAGGGTGTTTATCTAATATTTTTTAGGATTTGGGATAAAATCAATTTAAGTTCTTCATGGACTATTTTTGTCAATTTCAATGCATATGTTATTATTCATCTCCAATTAACTCTTTAATTGTAATTGTCTAATCTCTATTCTCTTGATTTCTTTTAATTTTGCATTGATTAATTCTCAATCAACTTCTTTGATTTTTATCCATTTTCAATTACATTCCTAATTGAATGTCACTTGGTTCTCATTTTTTATATCATTTTCGATTGAATCCCAAATCATCTTCTCGATTTTTTTTTCATTCTTGTCTTCTTCTTTGTTTTCTTTTTTCTTTTCTTCTTTTTTAATTAAAAATGGGGAGTAACCCTAAGAAATTAAAATCCTAAAAAAATTATTTAATTAAAAATAGGGAGTAACCCTAAGAAATTAAAATCCTAAAAAAATTATAAAAATGCCTAATAATCATGAAAGAGACAAACTATGCAACATTCCATTTTATTTTATTTTATTTGAATTTTTGAATTTCTCTCTCTTTTTTTATTTTTTAAAGTTGTATGAAAAAAAAAATAGGGGTGCAAATGGGGTTATTACATTATTTTGACCACACATCAATTAGTTTAAGGAGTCTGGTCGGTTATTTGGTCAAATTAATTAGTAGTTTTTTCCAGTAGTAAGAATGTCCTTAGATCGGCTTTCGCACACCTTAAGATTAATCCTTTCTTGGACGTGGCTAAGGGACACTCTCCAACAAATAGCATTGGATATTCTGAGAATAAATTCTCAGGACTGCTAGCCATAAAGATCAATTTATAAGTCAACGCTTGCTTACTAGCCTCACTAACTAGTGGACTAACCAATAATATCGTTTGGGTCCATACATGTCAAATCTTTCGAGCATAGGGATACAATTGTACCTGCATTTCTTAAATGAAGGCCGACTTGGAGATACTTCTGCTTCTATGAAAAAAAGGTATTTTTTATCTCGATAAATCTCAATATTTGAATTGATATATATTATTGCTATTTCAATATCATATATGTAAATTAATTTATGTATTTTTTCCTAAGATTAGGTGATTAATTTTATTTCTTCAATGTAAAATATTTTATTTTTAATAGCTTATACACTTTATGGAAATTTAGTACGTACTTGAAAAAATCGAGTAGATTTTCATTGGAGGTTTGAAAACTTCTTCCAAAAAAAATAGAAACGGACAGGAGTTGTCCATAAAAATATAAACGTGTACCTCACCTCCATTACTATCCTATCCTGCCATAGCATCCTATTGAACATTAACACACACACACACAAACGTAAAACTATTATGCAAATTACTATTCACACAAATACGATGTAACTGTAGATGAACTGTTCACACAAAAAAAATTCTCTTGCCTTCTTTTTCTTTGCTTCCTTTTCTTTCCCCAGTCGCTTGGTTCTGATATCTTCTTTTTCTTCGTTTTTCTTGCCCCTTTCTTCTACTATAAATATCATTTCTGCCATTTAGTGTGCTTGGGTCAGTACTTTTTTCACCGTTTATCCTTCTTTTCCCTGTGGCTTCCTTTGTTCTCTTTCAACTTTTCCTTTGTTCTCTTCCTTCTACTAAAAAAAAAAAAAAAAAAGAAGTCTCCAAATTTATTAATCATCTATTGTTGGTAGGCTCCTATTTTCACTTTTAGTGGGGTTTTTTTTTAGTCCCTATTTTATATTTTATATTTTTATTATTGAAGTTTTATTATATTTGATTTTTATTTCTACAAGAAATTTTTTTTTTTACTTTTAGTGAATTTTTTTTTTGTTCTTTGTTTTGTGATTTTTCTTTTATTTTGATCATTAGAGTTTTATTATGTTTGATTTTTTTTCTTTTTATACTAAAATTAAATACAAATTCACTATTCTAAGTATTTTTTGGTTTTTCGTAGAAATTTTCTTTCTAATTTGGTTCCTATTATGTGATTTTATTTTTTTTTGTCATTAAAGCTTTATCATGCTTGATTTTTATTCGTGTCTTATGCATAATGAGTTTTTTTTTTTTTTGTCTTATTGTTCATAAATCTTTTTTGGCTTTTCGTGAAAGTTTTTGTTTAATCCTTATTTTATGATCTTTACTTTGTTTTGATCATTTAAGTTTTGTCGTGTGTAATTTTTATTCCTATCTTTTTTCAAATAAATTTTGAAATATCTCAATTTCATTCTAATTTGATAAAAAAAAATTTATCTTTTTATTTTAGGTGATCTCTCTCTATCTCATTAGCAGACTACAAATAAAGAACATATGATAGAAATTAATAATTCAAAATTCAAAAAATTATCACGTCATTATTTTAATTACCGGTAATTATATATATTTCTAACAAAATAATGCTTGTATCAAATATCTAATTAGCAATATTATATTGCTCAATTTTGTAAACTTTTCATTTAGTTAACCTTGTAGCAATATACAAAATATATGTTTTGGTCATTCTATTCTATGAATTTTTTCCGCATGATCCTTTTAAATAATTATTTTTAAATTTGTATTTTATATGGATGAATATATAAGAATGTTGTATAACTCACTTTGCGATGACGCGCAAGTATATGCTAGTTTACACTAATCACATAGCAACTGAAAAGACAAAGAAAACACTTACTAAGCAGTAAATTTATTAGATAATCTAATTATCCGTTCATAGCTAGCTGCTAGTTAACTGATGCTTTTTTAATTATAGCCAGTTACTGGAATAATTGGATTTAAGATTGCAAACTTGGTGGATGATTATTGCCTTTTTATCTTTCTATTTCCTCCACGTCTTACTCATTTCCAGCCTTTTCACTTTCAACTAATGTAACGTTCAAAATTGATTCAACATCATGATCTATTCCTATATAAATCACTCAGCAATACTGTACAACAATATGAGAAATTTTATCACACATTTATCTCATCCAATTAACATCACTTTCTATATTACTTTCGAAATGGCTTTTAACCTTAAGCTCTTTATGTTCATTGCTTTCTTGGCATGCAGCAGCTTGGACTGCTACGAGGCCGAGGCACGACCATTGGCCTCAATCTCAACCCTTATGGCTCGCTTAAAATTGGAAGGAGAGTCACCAAATTGCTGGGACTCTTTGGTGCAACTACAAGCATGTTCTGGGGAGATTATTCTTTTCTTCCTTAATGGTGAGACTCAAATTGGTCATAGTTGTTGCCAAGCTTTGAGGACCATTGGTGAACATGCTGGCCTAACATGATTGATACATTGGGCTTTACTACTGAAGAGGGCCAAATTCTTGAAGGCTACTGCGAGCAAGCTGCCGATTCCACTACTCCATCACCATCAGCACCATCTGTAGTGCCTCTTAAGGTTGTTCCAAACCAGACTTTGGTTCCCTGATTAGAACTTGAGATTGGCTCTTAATTAATGGTAAGAGCAGCTAGAATAAAATAATAGCAACAATATAGAATAATTACACTCTTTCCTATTTGTGTTTTACTATATTATAAACAAGCTCTGGCTTTTATTTTATTAATTATGGCTTCCAACAACTTATTCACCAATCTTACAATGCGATTATAAAAATATCGGACTCGCACTTGAATTTTGATATTAATTTCCTAACCAAATTCACCAGTTCAATGTCATCCATACGTACTGCATGTATGGTTATTGACTAATCATGCATGATCTATCGTCTAGAAGTTTAATGGATCATATCAACAAGTATTTTAAGAGCAAAAAGGGTTTGTGAAAAAGTTTTTGTTGATCAAAAATTAGTTAAGAGCCCATGCTTTATATATTTTGTTTTAATTTATGCCAAAAGTTTAGCACGAAGATTAAAATGTTATGGAATGTTTTTAATCATTTCTTTTTATTTTTACGAAATAAGTGAAGAATTGAGGGTTGCCTTAATAATGGGAGGCTATTTTCTCGGGGTTGGAACCTATCTAATGAGGTACTTTGATCTAATTATGTCTTTTTGAAGTTTTCTCAAAACTTGTTGATATAACAATCACATAGTATTTTTGTATTTTAATTTTCTAAATGTATCTTACATTGTGAAATTATAAATATGTCTTTTTGAAGTTTTCTCAAAACTTATTCATATAACAATCACATAGTATTTTTGTATTTTAATTTTTTGTATCAAATAAATGCTGAAATATATTTTTCAAGTAGATTCTCCATATAATTGCCAAATGGCAAAAAATAGTTTTTTAAAAAATAATTTTCTGAAAAATAGATTTCTCATAAATTAATTTTTCTATAGAAGTTATTTTTCGTTAAACAAACGAAGCCTTATGAGTTTGTAATTGGTTGAGAGTTATTTACAAATAAGTTCAGAGTTGTCATGGTGTGCTTTTTATCATAGGTAGAAATTTTAGGACTGCAAAGCAGCTGTCGTCTAAGATTTGGTACAATAAAAATTTTGTTGAATACTTCGTACAAATGCAGAAGAAGTTAAAGATGGCTGCCTACCTGGCAGAGGAAGGGAGAAAGAAGAAAGAAAATTTAGAGGAAGAAATTGAAAATTAGGTTAAATGAGGGAAAAAATTAAATTGTTCACTGTATTCATTCGCCTTTCCTATTCCAATCCTTAGTATTTTTTTCTTTGTTGTTTTGCCCCTCTTTGTTTGTCATTTTCTTTCAATTTCATCCTGATCTCATTTTCAGTTTCTTGTTTTTTTCCTGTCTTTTTTCATTGCTTGTCCAAAATTAAAGGAAAACGACAATATGGTTATAAGATAACTAAAATTATAGAAACATGCAAGATGCTTTTATTTTTTGAAATTCTAGAATTTTTTGGATTATTTTTTTTATATATATAAAATTTAGTGGTCAAAACCAAGTTATGACAGTAATAATTATATATAGATGATTTTGTTTGAAGTTGAGATTTTATTTTATATGACTGAACTTTAAAATTAGAAATTAGCACACCAATGGCATGAATTTTTGTAATCATATAAAAGTTTTCTCCAACTTGAGTTCAGCCAATCTTACATGAAATAGATATTAAAAAAGTGTTTCATTGCATCAAAAGTTACGTACCATTACATGAGTTGGAATATACTAGTGGCTTGCCAGAACTAAGTCGTGAGTTCCATAGAAAAAAATCTTTTTAAATTTTTATATTACAATTTTTTATTTAATTAATCTTTTAATGTTTTTTAGAAATTTTCTGTTTAAAAAAACATAAATCATTCTTCTTTATGAATTGATTTTAAAATAAAAAAATATAATAATTTCAACTAAAATATTTATAAAGAATTTAAAAATTTTAAAAATATAATTTTCATAATATTTTATTCTAAAAAATAAAATTATAATTAATGGACAGATTTTTATAAAAATTAACAAAAGAAAAAAATTCTTATTTAATGCTAATGAGAAGATTAATTTTTGAAATTATTCATCCAACGCTAAGGATAGATAGAATAAAATCATTTAAAATTTTTATAAATTTTTATTATTTTTATTTAATTATTACAATTTTTTTTGTGTTTTTCATAAATTTTTTACTTAAAAAAATGATTTATTCTTCTTTATTCAAGGATTCTTAAATAAAAATTAGCCAATGCAAAAATAAAAATTTATTCTTATTTAATGTTGGTGAGAAGATTATTTTTTAAAACATATGAATTAGATATATATATATATATATATACAAAATAATCAACAAAGTTAGCATAAAAAACTTTATTTGAATAATTGGTTGGTTCCTTTAAAAATTATTTGAATTATTTTATTACAAATAAATTGGTTCTATAATGTTAAATATAAAAAAAAAATATTAACGTAGTAAATAATATGTATTATGTTAGAAGATGTATAGTTAATTTTTAATAAAATCAAAAATTCAATAGTTTTTTTATATGTCTTGGCCATACTCGATGAACTAAAATAAATTATTTGAAATACACTTTTAACATTTTAGAATAAATAATTATATATTTATACATACGCAACTATCATTTTAAAATTTTAAGAATTCATGATATATATTATACCAATTTATTTTTAAAAAGAAAATAAAAAATAATCATGTTTTAAAATTTTATTCTAAAATTCAAACATAGAGAAAAATAAATTATATTTATCAGTAAATAAAATCTTATATAAAAATATTAATTGGATGAGAATTTTCATAAAAAATGATAAATTCGAGATAATAAAATTTAAATGATAAGAGTAATATAAAATGACGTATATGATAATTTTAAAATATTAAAAGATAGTGTGTGTGTGTGTGCAATGAAAGAAAAATGAAAACTAAGGATTGAAAAAAAATGTTACAACATGAGGAATGAAAAATAGAAAAAAGTGTTAAATTTGCATACTAATACCCAAAAACACACAAAAATTACTTAAATTGCCATAAAATGAATAGTAATTTTCAGACAAAAAAAGTAGGAGGCGAGACCCTAACTTTGGAGCCGTGGAAGATTTCAACCAGTTTGTTCACCAAGGGGGGCTTATTGATGCGGGATACGTGGGAAACAACTTCACTTGATGTAAGAATCAAACAGAAGCCCCAAGGATTCTAGAAAGAATAGACAGATGCTTATTGAATACCCAGTTCCAAGCTTCCATACCAACTCTAGAGTGCATTCATCTGCCTAGAATTTTCTCTGACCACTACTCACTCTTGTTGTCATTTAGGGAGAAAAGAGACAAACTTGCCAGATTTGCTTTCAAACAAATATAGACTCACCACGAAAGTTGCTTACAGCTAATCAAGAAACACTAGCTCTAACACGATACCTCGATTTCTCTAACTAATTTTTAGCTTAACCTAAGAAATTTATGCAGTGCTCTCTGAACCTGGAACTATGAAGTGTATGGTAATATTCATAAAAAAGTATTTGATATAGAGGATGAGGTTATACGCAAGGAAACAAATTGTCTGATGAATAGTTTTGAAGATGTGGCCTAGCAGTAAAGGCTAAACTGGCAGCCTTGGTTTTACAGAAAGAAATGTTTTTAAGAGAAAAGGCAAGGGTAAGGTGGCTTAAAGAAGGGGACAGAATCAAGCTTTCTTTCATGCAAGTATACATTCACACGAGCAGAGAAGTAACATCTCACTAAAAATAAATGATAGTATTTCCTCTAACGATAATGTGCTAGGTAATGGTGCAGTTAACTATTTTCAGGATCTTCTGCAATCTAGATTAGTGGCCCTCGCAGATAACCTTCTTGAAGCTGTTCCTACACTAGTAACTATAAAGCAAAATTAGATGTTAATAGAGGTACCTTCTACAACTGAAATAAAACAAGCTGCATTTGATATTAACCCATCCAATGCACCTGGATTGGATGGTTTCACAGGAGCATCTATCAGAGTAGTTGGGAAATGGTTGTAACTCTCTAGTCCACGCCATCCAAGAGGTGTTTAAAGGGGGTCCGATTCCCAAAGCCATAATAGTAACTTCAATGGTACTTATCCCTAAATGTAAAAACCCTATAGAATATAGTGATCTGAGACCAATTAGTCTTTGTGAAAGGAAGGCTGATTCAGGAAAACGTTGCTTTAGCCCATGTATTGTTTCAGGAGATTGATCGAAAACAATTAGAGGAAATATGGTATTCAAAGTGGATATGGAAAAATCTTATGATAGTTTAGAATGGTCATTTTTTATTAAGGTTATAAAAAAATTTGGCTTATCTGAAGACTGGTGTTCTCTGATTTTTCATTACCTTAATAATTGCTGGTACTTTGTAGTCCTTAATGGTGGTTCATTTGGTTTTTTCAAGTCAGAGCAGCGTGTTCGACAAGGAGACCCTCTCTCACCAGCCCTTTTCATCATTGCTCAGGATGTCCTAAGCAGAAATCTTAATCTGCAAATGAATTTGAGTTGGATTCTAGTTTATCGTGCAAGTCGAACTTCAATAAACATTAACCATTTATTCTTTATAGATGATATGCTGCTTTTAAGCAATGGTTCAAAACAATCAATAGAGAAGTTAATGTCCACACGAAGAAAATATTGTGAGTGCAATGGACAGCAGATTAATAAGGCCAAAAGTGGTTTCCTCTGCAGCAATAAACTTCCTTTGAATAGGATTAGACTTCTACAGAGATGAACAAATTTTAGGCATATGAAAGCTCCCACTAGATATCTAGGTATCCCCCTCTTCAAGGGATGTGCAAAGCTATCTTATTTCTAGTCATTAGAAGAGAAAATATGAAGCAAACTTGCAAGATGAAAGGGTAAGCTCATATCCACTAAAGGTAAACTAACATTGATACAAGCAGTACTATCCTCCCTCCCAGTGTACACTATGGCTATCATGCCCATACCAAAAAAGACATTGATGAACATTCAGAGGTGCATTGGTAAATTCTTTTGGAACCACGGGGAAGGAAGTCGACATCATTGGGTTAGTTGGGAAAA